CCCCCCCTGAGGAACCATATTGGCACCGTTGTAGGTGAAACTCCCTTGGCGTGACACGCCAGAACTGTAGGAGTTAAAGCTTCCTTGTCGAGGTATGCTTGCTCCCACGCGGCGCTTCGCACTTCCCGGGACAACCATCCCCCTCTGTGAACCGAGATCACTGCCACTGTACAGGGACCCACTGCGCACTCGTATAACTCCGGCCTTCTGTGCTTGAAAGCACAAAATTGTCAACACCCCAATCAAGATGACGAGCGGCACAACGGAAGAGACTGCGGCGATTATCATCCATAAGTCATCCCTTACTTCAGTCTCTGTGCGCTCCTCACCGACGAAGCATTTGGCACCAGAAAATATCGCAGACGTCTCAGATTCACACATGACATGGTCAGGGATCGGGCAATTTTGGGCGTCTCCAGGTTGGTTTTTCCACTCCTGAGAACTGCATACTCCCTTCCAGGTGGTGGTCACATCACCGTTGGGGAGCCTCACGAGATTCCACGCCACCTGGGAGTAGTAGTAAAATCTGGGCCGCGTGTACCTATACCGCAGTACCGGATCATAATCGACCCACAGCGGTCCAGTGCAGTTCATCTGAGTGTAAGGTGTAGCGTCAAAGCGATAGAATGGTTTACCTAACTCGGGATTCTCCACACTGCAGACTTTTTTATGGCCGAAGGTACCAACCAATGAGTAGCACTGATCGTCGCTTTTGAAGAAAGGGTATGTAGTTCTGTCCATTGTAGGTGAAAAATAGAGGAGCGGTATACTTGTACTGCATCGCATTCCATTTGCTCCAAACACAACGTCTGAAGTGGTGTTGCACTTCGCCAGGAATTCCTCCATAGCGGTTGCTTTGGCGAGTGTGTTCGGTATCGCGAGATGCATGCCAGCCGCCGCACAGCGTTCCGACGCGGTGTTCATGTACGGCTGTCCAGGTATCATATTGAAGGTAAAGACCGCGTATGAGGTCCCGGCGAACACAGGTGCCGTTAGCCGCACCGCAAGGACGAGCAGAAGGAGGACAACACTCCCCCGGGGCTGAATTGCACTCGTCCTCATCGGTGTTTTTCGCTTTGCGTGTGGTTGCGTGTGTGTGTATTTATTTTCCTTCGCGTAGGAGTGTCCGTTTGGTGTCTCCCTTGGCAGTAGCCAGCCACTGATCGCTGTTGTTGATCGTTCTCTATCAGCAGAGGGAAAAGAAAAGAAAGTTAAGCGAACTCCTCACGCCGTTCCGTCAATGTCAAACGAAAAAAGGCCACACGCCTCTTCCCACCCACCCAGAACACAAAAAAGTAGAAACAAAATAGCGGCAAACAGAGTACAATGGAGCAAAACCAAGGATCACAAAGGAGAGGAAAAAAAAGAAAAAAATGGCATACAAACAGCACCAGACGCCACAGGCGAGGCCACATACACGCACCCTCAGCCGTATGGGGCCATCACAAACGTCTTCCCCCGCGGCGGCGGCGGCGGCGTGGTGGAGCGCGCTGCGCAACTTAAGGAGGCGACGGCCCCGTCGTCTCTCCCCTCACCAGCCAGCAGTGGGGACGCGACAGGAGGCTCGATCACCGCAGCCGCCCAGCTCTCGCGCAGCAGCGCCAGTTGAACCGCCGCCTCGCTCTGATGCGGGCTGCGACAGGAGCGCCAGCCGACGACCCTTTGAAGGGCAACACACACATTGATTCCACACAACGCCAACCTTGAGAGAAGGTGCCCCGCAGCACCACCGCACGGACAGCAGTCACACTTGCCGCTAGAAAGCAGAAGCGGTGGTAAGCACGCAAGTAGCCGTTCGCGTAGCTGCAATGTTCCTTGGACACAAAATCGTGTGGCGTCTTCGCAACGCCATACACCAGCATTTGTTACAAGTGGAAGAAGCATACTGTCACTCGGGAGACTTGTGTGATCCTCTGCCACAAACAGCGTTGGCGACAGGGCAGCACCGGTTACGGCGATAAAAACAAAGAAAACGGGCTCCAACACTACGGAGCACACGAATAGCAGTGGGAAGCTGGCGATGAAGAAGACCACGTCAAGGAGGAAGATTGTGATGAAAGTTGCTGCCGATCCCACCACGACATCGCATCTGCGCACCACCCGCCACGCACTGCCGTGGAAGACAACGCCAAGCACAAGCAGTAGCGCAATCAGGAGAAATCCAACCACACCCATTTCTGTGGGTACGCGGTCACACACAGCTGCATCCTCCACGTCCGCGCTTATGTCACACGCCGCAGCTGCACCCAAACCGAGAAGACGCGCGTTGCTTGCGACAAGCTGCACCCCCGTGAGAAGGTTCACCAGCGGCACGCCACGCAAACAAAATGCCAGTCGATTCACACTGTCATACACGAGACAGTTCTCCGCCATGAGGACTTGAAGGAGCCTCAGCATGCCGTTGAATACGCCACCGCATTTTGCTGCGAGGAATGGAATCATTACCGCGACGGCGACGGCGTACGCAACGACACCGAAGCCCAAGTACACCGGCAGAAGATAGGGCAGCGAGAAGGACCACTGAAATTGCAAGATATTTGAGGTGGCAGTACTAAATCCGTCACCGCTCTCAGATGCCACCATAGCACGCACGGCATTTCCGTTCTTCGCCTCTCTCAGGTGCAGGACAAAGCTGGACACCAAGAGACCAACACAAAGGAAACATGACACAAGAGAAATGTACGAGATCTCTGACCCAACCTTCGAAATGGCGCATCGCACGGGTAGAACTCCACGGTAACGATGGGTATACACGACAGGCAGAAAGGTGTGTTTTGTTTTCCTTTGAGTGGGCCCCTTTTCCTCTGGGTCATGATGCGCAGTTCGTTTCGAGGTGTCACCATTGCCGCATATCATGTGGTAGATACGTTGCATCTCAGCGGAGTGCGAATATCTCTGCACGGCCTCACGAATGCATCGCTCCGCTGGCAAAACGTTAAGGCTTGCGAAGAGCGCAACTGCGCTCTGTGCGGCGGCAAGAGCATTGCCGCAAAACGACGCAAGGAGTCGTCGCGCAAGTAGCACAGTCGTTGCATCGAACGAAGCGGCCGCTATGCGTAGCTGGCAGACCTGCACAGTCAGCTGCAGGTGATGGCAATTCTCTGTGAGGAGGCTCATCCAATGGGCCGCCTCCCTGTTTGCGAACCAGTACAAATCCTGCGCCGTCATGGTGGTACATGGCCAAACATTACTCACGTCAGACGATGGCCTCGACGACGAGACGGAGACCACCGCTAGCCAGTCCTCACTTGTAGTGCTGCGGGTTCGCGAGGGGGTGGGGCTTCTTGATGTATGGAAGGACCGCAAGGTCGAATCAATGCGTGAATCCGTCTCCACATCGATGTGGCGTAGCGGCGCAGTTGTCGTTGTCGTCGTCCTGTTACTGCTAACAACGTTGCTGCTGTCGTGGCTACTTTCACTGGACGGCGAATCCAGAGGCAGTAACACAGGGGTATCAGCCAAGGAAACGGCGACATCACGCAAGACATCCTCCTGCACATCACAGGCCATAGTGATGGCATTGTACACAATGCGGTGTGGGGCGCAGTCCGTGAAACTCAACTCCAGTGAGCCAAACAGGCCCTCCACACGTGCAACGAGGACCTCGCAGAGGTGCAGCATCTCCCCCAGTTGGGTGTACCGGCATCCGTAAGGTGAAGCATCCACCTCTGGAGACTGCGGGTGATTGTGAAAAAGGCGCTGCCGAAGTTGCCAAAGGCGGTGGGCCAGCAGCGGCACCTGGACAGGAAGCGGCAGCCACTCCAGTGACTCAATGATGCCGGGGTTCGTTCGTTCCGTCTCTGCATCATCTGGTGGAAACGATGCGAGGATGGGTGAGTGAACGCCATCCGCACCGAGTGTTGGGCAAGTTGCAAGGTACGATACCTCCGCTATTGTCAGGGGTTGACGCCAGCACCGCAGGAAGAAGGCAAGTGTTTTTGTGTCTGCCAGAGCCGCGCAATTCACCAGCAGCAACTGTCGAAGCCACAAAGAGGACACTAGCCACACTGACACATTTCCCTCACTCTCATTGAGACTGTGGGAAGCGCCACATCGGGCACCAGCATCGGCAGTAACAACGGTGGCGAACCTGGCCGCAACGGCACGACCGCCACCACCGCCGCCTTGGAGTCTGTTCAGTGTTCGAAGAAGAAGATCTCTCGATGCAGTCATGTCGCCCCCGTCGGTGAGACGCTTCGCTCGTAGCCACACCCGCAGCGTCAGCAAGAACTCGCTGTACCATGACAACACGGTCGAAGCCGCTGGTTGATTACATCCATCGCAAGCGTGGTTGCTGTCCCCGTCGTCGTTCGAGTCGCTGTTTCCATCATCATCGCCACAGTTGTTACCGCTGTTGTCATCGAATAACTCACGGCGAAACAGTTTGTACACGTCACGCATCACACACAGCCGCCACGAGAGAGAGGCATTTCCCAAGAGCTCCCGTGCCCCATCATTATCACTGTCTCTGTCAACGCTGTCGCACGCATCGCACACATGCCGTATTCTCGCTCCCGCCTCGCGTCTTCCCACGCTGCTTGCCGTGTTCGTCACCGCAGCGACCGCAAAGGCATGCATAAAGCATGACGCGTCGCGCATGACTTGCAGCAGTTGGGGCCGCGCCCCCGCCCACGGCACCGCGTGGAGAAAGCGCTCTGCGGCGTCCACGACACCGCGGTGATCGCGCGCAAGCCAGGCGCGGTATGTGTCGACAAACGAGAGGATGTATGTCATCTTTCCACCGCTGCAGGAGTCGACAAAGAGCCACTCGATACGGCGGCGCATGTCGGCTAGTCGCTGCGCCACACTCGTCCCATCATCATGTGAAGAAGTTGCAGCCGACACACACGGTGACACGCCCACAGGCACCAGCTGCTCAAAGAAAAGGTAGGACCACCGACTGCGCGTTGGCGACCGCCACACGTGTGGCGCACACTGAGCGCAGACGACGTAGTACACGACGTGCAGCAGCCCACACGGCAGTACAGCGGCCGACGGCCCCGCAGAGTTCGAGGAGGCACCCGCCATCTCGCGAAGCAGCTGCAGCATCACACGCTCCCGCTCCTCTGGGTTACAGCACTGCTGTGCAGACGGCAGCAGCAGCCAGTGCCGCTCACACGCGGTATCCACGACACGCTCCAACTCCCCCTTTGCACGCATCGCGTCTGTGTCGTGCGTCAGGAACCGCATGGCCCGCCGCACCCCGCTAAGAACACGCCGGCGAAGAAAAATGACGCCCATATCGCCTAGCCCTGTTGATGCTGTTGCGGCCTCCAGTTTTTCCCCTTCCTCCTCGTCCTCCTCCACGAAGCAGCCGACAAACGCCGAGAGCAGAAACGACAATTCCATCCCGTCCAAGTCCACCCACCCTGTGATGAAGTCCACGCCTCTCAAGGCATTCATGACAGTCCGACTCTCTTCGCCTCGAAAATGCCAAGTTTCTTTTCTTGATGTCACGTCTGTGTGCGAATAATAAAGAACAAGGAGGAAGAGAAGACTGGTACGACAAATGCGTGCAGCAATAACCGTCAAAAGAGTACCAGAGGAATGAAGCGCCAAGACTGTAGCAATACCTCCACCAATAGAACTAAACACCAAGAACACTTTTTTTTTTTTGCTTTCTTCACATTTTTTTTCCTGGTTTTTCTTGCTGATTGGTTTTCTTTCATATGTGCCCATTTCTGCGCCCCCGCCCATTCCCCAGCGAAGAAGACCGGGAAGGCGGAGTCGAGCGGAGCGGCATAATGCACAGTAACAGGAACGACAGCGCTGGCATGGGCCGTAGCAAAAATAAAAAATAAAAAAATAAAACAAACTCCAGAGATGAAACACCCTCCCCTACCATCACTCCATACAGACAACACTGAGTTCCGTCACACCTTGATGAGCAGAGGCGCTCAATACCAACACAAGTTGCGCACTGGCATACACATGTCTACATAGATATTGCATGCGTCTTCATCTTGTCCAGACAGCCAACAGGGACTACAGGACAAAAAAATGGGTGGGGAAACTATTGATGAGAGAAAGAGCGACACTGCACATGAAGCGAAAACTAGAAAAAAGAAAATAATGTTTTGTTGTTTTGCGATTATTATGGAAAAGGGGAGAGACGCGTTGGATGCGCTGCCAACTCAGCTGGATTCATTATTATCCTCTCCACACAAGTACACATCCCGAGAGAGAGAGAGAGAGAAAGGGAACGAGAGACAGATATAAGTAGAAAACATAAAAATGCCATTCTCTTTCCCCCCTTTCCAATCGATATCGATCCCCTCTCTTCCATAAGGTCCCACACACTGGTGCTGACTCGCAACGCCCCCCACTTGCACCCTTGTCTCTGGGCTGCGGCTACCACTCGCTTTGGAATCCGGGCGACCAGCAGCACTGGCTGTCTTCCCCCTTAGCGGTCAAGCTCTCAAAAATCAACGGCGGTCTCTCGCAGGAGAGACTGTTGCTGTCATTATCGGCCCACCCCCAACACAACTGCTGTAGCGGGTTCTGGGACCCCCTGGGAATGAACAACGGTGCAGAGCTCGGTGTCACCAGCTCACACGCGGGGACGACGCAGGCCGTGGTACCCTTCGATCCCCGCAGTTCAGTGCCGCTCGACCCCTCCTTGCGGTGCCGTGAGCGCATCAGTATCAAATCATCGAAGTCGGCGCTGTTGCACCTCTTGCCCGAGTTTCGTGAGGTGCTGCGGGAGATGGGCGTCAGCTGGGATATGATGTTATTGCTATTTCTCTTTCGGGCACGGTAATAACTCATCAGATGGTCAACATCACCGCTGCTCCAGTCGCCTGGCCTGGTAGATTTCAGTGCTGCGTCTTCGCACACATCTATTGATCTGAAATCTTTCCCAGAAAGAACAATCGCACAATCTATCGTAGACGCGAGATGGCCGCTTCTGCTTTGCGTCACTGCCACTCGTATTGGGACTGCTGCTTCAGACGTCATCGCGCGGATGCGGTGGGGTGGTGGCAATGCAGTGATAGGAACACTGTGACCTCCACGCAACGTAACGTCAAACACGCTTGAAGGTGCAGTAATCGGCATGTGCTTATTAATTCCTTCCTACACGGAAAGAGTTTCAAAGGATGATGTCAATAACTCACATGTTTTCTCGAGCGTACGCGGGTGGCAACTTGCCATGTCACAAAAACAAAAACAAAAAAAAAAGATCAGGCCTTTTCCACCACTACAATGATCCTTTTTCGCATGCTTTAGACGCCACTTAGGGAATAGGAAGAGCAGCAGCGGGAAGTCAAAAACCCCACGGCAAGGGAACACGGAAGAAGTGGAACAACAATGGCATGCAATCCACCACCAATTACAAGAAGATGACCTGAGAAAATCCCCCATGTCTTTCGTCGCCGGTCTCCCTTCCTGCAGGCGTCTCATGAGAATATATATATA